CCTAGTGATAGATAAGCTTATTTATTATTATTATTATTATTTTTTAACCCCTTGCTGGGAGAAGACATAGAGCAGAGACCACAAGGGGTAAAGGAGAGTCGCACTTAAACTATTTTGCAATTAGATTTCAAAGGAATTTTTAAATTTTTTTCTACCTTTTTGGATATGAAAGTACTAATCTTTTCAGCAAGGCTATTTACATCTATATTTTGGACTTAATACTTAGTTTTATGGTAAGATATGAAAGAGAAGTTTTCTAAGGGGGCATCAAAGGACTAGAGGAGGAAAATTGTGGTACATTTGGGGAAAACAATAAAATCTTTTTGGACCCTGTGAGCCTCTGACCTGAATTTTAGGACTAAACTTCCAGGTACTAATGTTAAAATGAGGATTATATATATATATATAAAAATTTTTTTCCTGTTCATTTTGCCTAAGGCACTTGGCCTAAAGGCCATGATGCTAAGCTACTGAAAGTAACTAAATAAGAAAGTAGGTCAGGTACTTTGAGAGATTACATATATACACACACACTTAAATACACACACATGTACACATATACAATACACATAATGTTTTAGGTCAATTCTCTTCACACAGAGAGAGCTAATTGTTGAATGTGATGCTGACAAAACCACTATTCTACAAAATGCTGGCGGGATAACTTACAGTATTTCTAGGGTCTCTGCTAATTCATGGAGGGAATGGGGAGTAGCAAAAGAGAAACAATAAAATGAATAGTCTGCCATTTACTGTGTTACTAGACCTTCTAGACAAGAAGGAGCCTCATCTGTGCTCGCAGAGATAGCACAAGAATTCTTCACAAAGCTAAATCCATCCCATCAAAAGTAGCCACAGAACAAATTAACTCCTGACATCCAACTGCCCTCCTGATGTCACTAGATTCCACACTTCCTTGTCATCACATTCCACATTCTCCTCTGTTGCTAGATACCTTGGGCACCCTTATTTTCCAAAGCTCCAGGTGCTGTTTTCCTTGGGACTCAAATGCAGAGTCTTTGGTTCAAATGCTATGGTACCCAGGCTGAAACCTTGAGAGAAGAACCATCACCCTGGCCCAGTGAACCTGAAGGCCATACCCACAGATCTTAATACTGCACCCTCTGTGTAGCAGCTACTCAGGATGGAGCAAGCTATGTTAGGTAAGGAAGCAGATTACCCCTTTAAAGTGGTGACCTGATGTGAATTGGTTACAGGAGTCTGAGGTCTGCGATTTTAAATTCTTAAAAAGTATCTTTTAGGGAGAGAGGGAAAGAGAATAAAAACCGTTAACATGATTACATGAAACTCAACAATATAAAATTCTTAATTTATACTCAGTTTAATATCTGCTTACTGTTCTGTATGGTATTTTTAAAATAAAGACATCAAAACTTTGTTTTAAATTTGGATTTATAGGACAGTGTTATGAGACATTATTGTTTTTTACCATTTAAATTACAAAATATGTGAGTATGTATATTTGATACAAATGAGTAAATCATGTATTTGTTTTTCTTAAAACATACTGATTTACTCAGGAATGAAATATGTAATGCTGTTAAATTTAGTTACCTTGGTAACATCTGGAGTGAACTACTCCATCTAAAAATATTTTCTACCTTATTGTTTATATTTTTTATTGAAACAAAAACATGGCACTTATTAAAGCCTTTCCTGACAAATAATAATGTTTACCTTACCTGAAAAATAAACGAATGATATACATAATGATTTCAGATTGAAGAAAGAGATGTAGGATGTTTAATTTTTAACCAAGATAGATATTGGATTTGTCTTATGCTAATGTAGATTTTATTTTAAAATGTAATATATACTTAGGGTTATTTAACCTAATGACGTATTGACAAAGCTTTGATACATTAAATGTTACTATATTTTTTAAAGGTTTCTAGAATACAAATGTTAAATCACTTTTTTCATGAAATAAAAATTGCAGTTGAATATATTCATTGTGCTCTTCTTTGGACTTTCATGGGAAATAATAAAGTAATCAAAAATTATCTTCATAATTTAGCATAAGAATTTGAATTGGCGTAAAAAGAACATGCACACATCTATCTGAATTACTTATATAAGTCATCCCCTTAATTCTGCATTTCAAAAACCCTAGACATTTCATGTTAAAATAATATTTTGAATCCTTGGATTAATACCTATGGAAAGTACCATGTAATAAAAAATGTCATATTATTTATGGCCAGTTTCCCAAATTTTCCTATGTATTTTTTCTTTCCACAACAATTCTTTCTTTGATGGGTACATAAAAAGAGTGATTTAATAGAATTTTGCCATTTGAACGTATTTTAACATTTTTCACAGGATAGTCTTAGAAAACTGTTTAAAAATATTATTTCAGGCTGGGTGTGAAATAATAATTCAGTCCAGGCGTAATTTGTAATGAAAAAATATTATTTCATTATGAATTAAACCTAATGGGCTTTGTTTATTTTATTTTATTTTATTTTATTTTATTTGAGACACAGTATCGCTCTTGTTGCCCAGGCTGGAGGGTAATGGCGTGATCTCAGCTCACTGCAACCTCTGCCTCCCAGGTTCAAGCAATTCTCCTGCCTCAGCCTCCCGAGTAGCTGAGATTACAGACACATGCCACCATGCCCGGTGAATTTTTTAGTAGAGACAGGGATTTCACCATGTTAGCCAGTCTGGTCTTGAACTCCTGACATCAGGTGATTCACCCACCTTGGCTTCCCAAAGTGCTGGGATTACAGGCATGAGCCACCGTGCCCAGCCTGTTTTTTAAATTTTTTACTACAGACGTGGCTTCGTCCTAGACTCTTGCCTACTCCATTACTACTAGTCATACCAGTTCTGTTCTCACAATTTTTCTAGTTCTCTCTTTTTCTGCACCGCCACTGCTTCAGAAGTTTGAGCTTTTAAAGATGCCAACTTAGATGACTTCTACATCTCTTAATTGGTCTCCCCAACTTCCATTTTGCCCCTTCATACCATTCTCCTCATCAGAGTCAGAATAGTCTACTTGAAATATAACTTTTTCCATGTCACTTCTCACAATAAATTAAAACTGTTATTTGCTCTCAGAATAAAATCCAAGTTCTTTGATAAACAAAATGCTTTTCTTGGTATGCTCTTTTTTCCTTTCTAGGTTTATCTTTTCTCTTTCTCTTTTCTTGCACTCCAGACTACTCTTACTTCTCACTTGCCCTGCATATGCTGACCTCTGTGACTTTGCATGTGCTGATCCCTCTATAGAGAATGCTCTTCCCCAACTTCTCCACCTGGTTAAGGCTCACTCACCTTTTGGAATTCAACTCATATCCCCTTCTTTAGGAAGCCTTCTATGATGTCTTTATCCCTTGTATTATACCACAGCCTTCTTGCTCTGAATTTTAATAGCATGTTTGTTTTTCTGTCTCTCTTGATTATCTGTGAACTTGTTGAAGGCGGAGTTTCTACAGGCCAAAAACTTAACCCCATATTGGTCAGAGTAAGCACTTAACAAATGTTAGTGAATAAATGAGTGAACCTGTGAGTTATATTACTCTTTCAGAATTTAATATAATTCCCATGAATGTAATTGATCAGAAAGCATTAACTATTTCATTACACCCCTCCAAAAAGCATACTTGATAATATTCAGAAAATTTAAAATCACAAGTATTGAATAATATTTCTTTTGCTCACCCATATTTATATGATTTCACTAATAGCTTTTAACTAAAGGAAATATTTTAATACCTTTTCCATCATAATTTTTAAAAATCAGTAGCAAATTGTTATATAAGATAAAATTAATTAAGAAAAATAGAATGTTATTTCATGTAATCTTTGTCTATGTGTTTTCTTTTTACGAAATTGGGATCATACCAATCACACTCTTCTGTAGCTAGATTTTTCTATTTAGTACTTCATGACTCACATCCCCATATCTTAAAATAGAATATTTAATAATTACATAGTATTCTAACAATTTCAACATTTATTTAAATAATCTATTTGTGGTAATTTAGGTCATTTCTAATTTTTTGCCATTATGAACAACACTGGTATGAATGTTTACCTACAAAAAGATACACACACTGATTAAACTTCTTAGGTGTTAAACTCCCAGAAGTGTAATGAGCGGAACAAAGTTTATGAGCACTTTTAATGCTTTAGATGCATATTAAACACTCATTCAGCTTTTACTGATGCACATTCTCACGAGTAGGATAAATGATGCTTTTTATCAGAGAATGTTTACCAAATCTAGATATTCTCTCTGGAAAAACAAAAGCTATTTGCAAAATAATTGGTAGTTATTTAATTCTCTTTGTTTTTTTTTCCTTTGAGATTGCATTTGAGATTAAATTGTTCTCTCAATTCTGTTTTCTTCTTATTATTTTATTTCACTTCTTGTGCCTAAATGTGCTGTGTTAGCCCATTTGCATTGCTATAAAGGAATACCTCAGACTGGGTAATTTATAAAGAAAAAAGGATTATTTGGCTTACAGCTCTGCAGTCTGTACATGAAGCATAGTGCCGGCATCTACTTCTGGTGATGGCTTCTGGAAGCTTACAATCATGGAGGAAGATGAAGGGGAGCCAGTTTGTCTCATGGTGACAGAGGGAGCAAGAGAGAGAGAGAAGAGGTGCTAGCTCTTTTAAACAACTATCTTTCCTATGAACTCCCAGAGCAAGAACTCACTCATTGCCATGGTAATGGCACAAAGCCATTCATGAAAAATTCACCCTCATGACCCAAACACCTGCCGCTAGACCCCACTATGGACACTGGAGGTCACATTTTAATGTGAGATTTAGAGAGGACAAAACATTCAAACCTTATCATGTGCCTTCTAGATTAAAAATAACAATAACTGTTTACAAGCTTATTGCTGAGGATGAATTATATGTAAAATGCCATTCACATAATGGGAGCTCAATAAATGCTAATTGAAGTAGAATCTGAATAGCATATTAATTAAAATCAAAATATAACTTTTCCTTTCCAACAGATGATTCTGCTGCAGAGAGCTTTAATGGCAATGAGACTCTGGGGCAGAGTTCAATTGCTTCAGGGGGAACACACAGCAGGGAGATGGGAGACTCCAACAGTGATGGCAAAACTGGGCTGGAGCAAGATGAACAGCCACTGAACCTGAGTGACAGTCCCCTCTCTGCGCAGCTAACTTCGGAATACAGAATAGATGATCACAACAGTAATGGGAAAAACAAATATAAGAATCTTCTAATTTCTGACCTCAAGATGGAACGAGAGGCGAGAGAAAATGGAAGCAAGGTATGGTCACATTACAATTTCCAGAATCTTTGAGTCGGTCATGAAGGTCACAGAAAATACCTATGCATATAGGAGATAAACATTATTGTTAATAAAAATATTATAAACAAATCCAATAAGAGGATACCAAGAAACTTATGACCAAGCATATTGTGTGTTTATAACATATGATTTCAGGAATAATAGTGAGCAAAATGAATCGTGTCTCAAAGCTGTGGGTGTTTTTTGATATGGAGAATCACTTGAGTTAATGTTTCTCATATATATAATCTATTTGTATGAATCTCTCTGGAAATTGGTTCAGCTCAGATATGACAGTTTCAGTCTCAGTACACAATTTTTTACTATAAAAGGATCACTATCTAGTTTCTCCTAGATGGATAGGTGTACATAACGTTTCAATTAAATTCTTCAGTTTGCTTTAGAGACCTGGGGACTTTGATCAGTAATTTTCTTTGTGGACACTAAAAAACTGTTAAGTGTGAGACTTCTGGATGAAGTTTGTGGGTTAAATAATTATTTTAAGAAATGATTTATCATAAGTTATATCATACAAAAGACAAAAACATATTTCAGACATACCTAAATGTTTAGATTCTTCATATTAATGTTAGAATAAATTACAATCCTCTCCCATTCCCAGCTGACTTTTTTTTTAAATTAAGCTTAAACTTCTGCTAGTTTGAGATAACACATGCTGGTGACTTTGCTCTGTGATTTTTGAAGGTGTACTTTGGAACACATGAGGGTTTTTATGGAAAATACCTTTTGAGTGCCTTCCCCAGCCCTTACCTCTAAGTCAGAGTTGTAGAACTTGTTTTTTGGCATAGATCCTTAAAGCAAAATGTTTTAATCTGGATTAATTTCTGAATTTGCTAAGGCACTATGCTTCCTAAATTGGTTCTATTTAAATCTTCTTGCTTGCCTGGGGGTGTGTTGTTTTATCCTCTTTTAAGCAAGTCACTAGACATTAGCAGACACTTAAGCACTCCTGCCTGAGGGAGGCTGCTACAACTTTTTCTGTGGCAAATGTTCAAATATCTTCCTCAGTAGTTTAAAGCCAAATTACATACACGCAAATGATTTTATATTTGCTAACATGATCTGATTCACTGTGCACTGTGTTACATTTTACAGAACAAAATAACTCCTAAGTTTCCCTGCCCTCCACATAAACCTGTCTTTATGAAGTTTAAATAATCGTGAAATGTCCTTTCTATGCTATGTGTCTATTAAATTTTTTTCTAAAATTATTGGATGGTTTGCTCTTCTTTTTCTTATTCCCTTATTCAGTATTACTCTGAGAACGATGCTTATTAAAACATATTATTGCACATATTAAACAGAATGAAGTGACCTTTCTGCCTCTATTACAATGGAGTTGAGAAGCACAGATGGTTTGGGCTGCTCTTGAGGGTTAAGATGATAAACAAGCCTAGAGGAGAAGAAGATACCCCTGATGCACTTAATATTTTATGGTTTAGTAAATGAAGAATACTTCCCACAGCCAACTGAGGAATAGCCAAAGATGCAGAAGAAAAATCAGAAAGGTGTAATGTATGAAAGCTAAGCAAAGTCCACCTTTCAAGGAGAGTGTAGGCAGCTCTCATGGACAATGTCGAGAAATCAAATAAGATGAAGATAGAAAATAGTTAAATTTGTGAGGGAAGTTTTGATTGGGAGCACATTGGGAAAAGAATCAAGAGAGATTGTTTTTATTATTTTCTTCAAAAATAACATAGTAAATACTTATCACCTATGAAGGACAAATACATCTAGAGATATATAATAAACAGCAGGAGAACTAGAGTTAATAATATCGTATCATCTATTGAAAATCTGCCGAAAGTACATTTTAGATGTTCTTACCACATGGAAGTGATGGCTGTGTTAAGTTGCTTACCTGGAGTAATCATTTAACTATGGACAGGTTTATCAAAACCTCGTGTTGTACATCTTAAATTTATGCAATTAAAAATACTTGGCATACTTGCAGCAATGGAGTAGGTAGCAGAGACAACTCACAGAAATAAAAGTCTTTATTCACAAGGCTCTTGATACATAATTTTGAGAAAGAGGATACATATACATAGAAAAGTTTCTTAGAACAAGCACAGGCAATACTTATCCTCATATTAAAACAGTAAGAGTTTAAGTAAGAAAATGCTATTTCAAGTAATAGTCAAAATAGACCTCCTAGAGGAACTGAGCCTTGAACTTTGAAGGAAATACAAGATTACCATTTTATTTCTTTCAGAAAGGGTCTCTTGCTAGACGCTGTGAAGGGCCTGGAATGCAGATAGGGAAGATGACTTATTCTCAGGCTAGGGAATCATTGTCCATTCTGACCTCAGTATCATTTTATCACTTCCTCGTGGCATTGAGGAAGAACATGACATCCTTATGCAGGATAAACTAGTTGCCACCAATTAATTTGTTCTCCAAATATTTACTAAAAGATTCCTACATGCAAGTCACTGTTGTAGGAAGCAAAAATATGTAAACGAGAAGAGCAAGATTCCTGCTGTTTAAAAGCTCATAGTCTAGCGGGGGGACAAACTTGTGGTTACAGTCTCATTCTGTAAGTGATGAGGGACATATGGTCAGGAGGATGAAATGAAAGAACAGAGGAAGGGTGCCAAGAGACTATAATGATTCTTAAGGAAAACTCTAAAGAGAGATTGATGTCAGAGGTGAGTGTGGAATGGCAAGTAGGAGTTATTCTGATTATGTATGGGAGAGGGGTAAGCATGTTTTAACGGACAGAGCTGTGAGCGAGCATACCTGGCATGGGTATTTGCAAGGAGCTTAGCATGGCTGCAGCAGAGAACATGTGTGAAGTGATGAAGTATCAAGCGGCTCCACCAATAAATGTAGGCCATTTTAAGGACTTTGGATTGTCTAATAGAAAGAGCTTAGTGGTCAGCTTAGAATTTTAGAAAGCTCATGGTCAGCTTGACATTTTATAAAAAATATTCTGGCAATGTTTTGGTGAATGAATAGGATAGGGAATAGAAAAAAGTAATGAGAGAATGCTGGTTAGAGAGCTATTGTGGCAATCCAAGAGGAAAATACTGACAGTTGGAATCAAATAACTGACAATGAGAAGGGAAAGCAGATATGTAGTACAAAAAATTACTGAACATGTTATTTTTGTTCTTTTGACATTGTATTTGCAGGACTAACTATCTAACCTCCATAGGTTGTATTCATATATTGCCAAACTCCTGGGTGTGCCATTCACATAGCCTGCAATATGAGTATCATATTTACCTTTCTATGTCCCATTAGTGTGAACATTCTGTGAATATAAAAATGATGTTTACCTTGTCCGCTGCAGTATGCCTCACACCTGGCTTACTATCTTGTCCATAGATGTTTGTCAATACTTTGAGGAAATATACAAAGGTTTATTGAATGTGGAAAGCAAAGTATAGGGGAACATTCTAGAATGACTCCAAGATTTTTGGCTTTCTTGCCTAAGTGGATGATGAATCCATTTACTAAGATCCAGAATGAGAAACATTTGAAGAAGCAGGTTTCCACATGTAAAGTGTACGACGCACATGCAGTGTCCATTGGACATATTTAATAGGCATTCGGGGGACATGTGTCAGCTTTGAAGAAAGGTACAGGATGGAGAGAGAGACGTTTTAAAGATTTCAGAACAAAAGTGGTGCTTGAAGCTGTGGTGGTTGATAAGATCACCTTGGGAGAGCATAGAATGAGGAGAGAGTCGAAATATGTCATCTTGCAGAATATCAACCCATTAGGAACAAGTGATATAAAAGGAATTTATAGAGAAACAAATACTCAAGGAGAAAATGAAAGCAACTGGATAAGAAGGGGATGTTTTAGAAGGCAAAATATGGAGCGTTTCAACATTGATATAAATTATTAAACTAAGCAATCCTTAGATGAAGTGACGTAGGCCTGAACCTGAACATTGCTTAGGAGAGTTAGTGCTCAGAGGTGGATTCAAAACACATGGCAGAAGAAACACTAACATAATTAGTGGGCAATTTGATTGAAGACAGTTATAGAGACTGAGATAGGAAAGTGGAATCATTTGAATTGCGAAGGAGAGTGTGTCTGGAATTTCTCTTTAGAGATTCTTCCTGCAATCTTAATCCAAATGTAGAGTGCTCTAGGGTTCCTGCATCTGGATCAATACTTGCTTTACCCCAAGGCTATGAAGTGAACTTCATAATCAAGTTCTGTTCAATCTGTGCGATCTTTTGTAGTCCTCAGGATCGTTCCATCACTTCTGTGTGACCTTTTGAAGTGACACTACTATACATTTCTTCTTCCTTTGAGGGCTATAAAAGCTTAATTATATAGAATATGTGAAAAGCTTAGATTCCAGTGAGTTTAATGTTGACCTGTTTCACAATTTTACTGTGAATAAAATCAAACAAAAATGATTATAAAGCATTGAAAAATTGAACAGTGAATACAAGTGCTTAAAACAAATAGTTGAGTTGGACTATGTCATTTAGTGATTACTTATTATTATGCAAATTCACTCACTAGACTAGCAGGGAATCACATTAACTAATCTAAGGACTAAATATATTGCACTGAATGAAGTTAGGTGATATTTATTTTCTACTTGCTGTTGGCCGCATTTTAAAAGGACAACTAATAACATTAGAGCTCCAAAGAGAGTTGAAATGATGATAAAGAGCTTGAAAAATGAGACCCATGAGGAAGTGTTAAGGGATTAGCTATATAGAAAATGAAAGGCCAAACACCAATCTAGGTATAGATGTTTTAAATTATTAATCAATGAGAATAGAAAGACAACTGGAATCCTAATGGCAGTGAATACTTTAAAAAACTGTATTATTGGCTTTTTAATTTTTTGTTTTCTATTTATCTTTTAGTGTTTATAACCCAGCTGCATTTTACTTTATATGGTTAAATATTCTGAAGCAATTTCCCCAAAGAATGTTTCCAATAAGGACTGCAGTAGGCAAGTGATTATTGTTGAACAGTTT